TGCGCCAGTCCGCTCCCCACACACCAGCTCTCAGTGGGGAGGAGAGCAGAGTGATGGAGCCAGTTCAGAGATGGGGGTTATTAGGAGGCCATGGGGGAAATTTGGCCAGGACACCAGCAGTAACACCCCTACTCTTTTCGAGCAACACCCTGTGATATTTAATGACCAGATAGAGTCAGGACCTTTGTTTAATGTCTCATCTGAATGACGGCACCTTTTTACAGTATAGTGTCCCCGTCACTATACTGGGTCATTAGGACCCACACAGACCACAGGGTGAGCGCCCCCTACTGGCCCCACTAACACCTCTCCCAGCAGCAACCTTAGCTTTCCCAGGAGGTCTCCTATCCAGGTACTGGCCAGGCTCCCACCTGCTGAGCTCCAGTGGGGCTGCCAGGTGTGAGCTGCAAAGTGATATGGCTGCCGGCTGTAAAATAGCAGTTCTGTATTGCCTTAATATAAACGGTACCCCTACTTTTCCTCCTGAGAAGCTTAAAGACTTGGAAAGCAGGGTGATTATGAACTGAGTTGTGCAAGTCCACCAATCCTACACTGAAGTCAGTGAGAGTGGTGATGTTTTGCACAGGTACAAATGGGACAGTAGGGAGCTTGTTTGCATTGACAGGAGCCGTTTACCTTAGTCTGCCACCAGGGGGCAGCAGCATCATTAGTGGCCACAATCCAGCAGGTTTTACAGAGCTGGTAATAACTCCCAGCACCCACACAAATGGGGAACAGCATTCTATCGCTACAGTGCAGCCAATAATAATATCAATGAGGTAGTTAAACGTGGAATAAAAACTGGCGATAGTCCAGACTAATGACCTCTCTTAAGCACAGCCGTTCTCCAAAGCAGTGCATGACCACTTCCACCATTTTTTGAGAGCTAGATGTGGGGGCAGTTTGACCCTGTACGAAGGTAGCCGGTGATTTCCGTAGGAGGCCCGCAGCTCACCCTGTCTTGTGTCTCCGTGCGCCGCAGGAACGACTTCCTGAAGGAGATCAAGATCATGTCGCGCCTGAACGACCCCAACATCATCCGGCTGCTGTGCGT